CAAACACACCGCTGCACTTCTGGAACAATACTGGGAATAAATAAGTCATTGGGTCACCCATAAGATTTATATTTACTTTTATTTTGAAAAATTCTGGGGATTTTACACTGAAACCGTGTGTGATATCCTGTCTAACCCTATGTTACCTGCGGAAATTGATGCTTCTCAAAAGTGGCTCACGGACAAAATAGAACCCGATCCCATCTTTAGCAGACGCGTCACGGCTGGTTTGTAACTCTCCATGGATTCTATATGAAGCAGTGTTGCTCCGCTAGCATTCTGCGCCGCTGACGCTTCCAGTGTGCAGTAAGGATTAGAGATAGGGTGACAAATTCACTCATCTGGGAAGGGCTCAGAGTGGATCCGATGCTCCTCCACATCAAGAGGAGCCAGTTGAGGTGGCTTGGGCATCTGGGTAAGATGCCTCCTGGACGCCTTGCTGGTGAGGTTTAACGAGCACGTCCAACTGATAGGAGACCAGAATAAAGACCCAGAACACATTGGAAGGACTATGCTTCTTGGTTGGCTAGGGAACGCCTTGAGACTCCCCAGGAGGAGTTGGCCCAAGTGGCTGGGGAGAGGGAAGTCTTAGCCTCCCTGCTTATAGGTTGCTGCCCCTGAGAACTGACCCCTGATAAGCATAGTGAAATGGATGGATAGATGGACCACCTCCTCTTTTTGATATTAATTAAATTAATTATTTGACAAAAATGGCTACTTTTACTGCTCTTTAAAACCACTCTTTTCTGTCATAAATATGAAAACTCCTGCATTTAAAGGGCTGTCTCGTCCTTAAGATGGAAGTGAACTGCTGAGTCCTGATTTTGCCTGGCGTTGACCTAGATGTTGAATATGGAGCTTTTTAGAAACCCATCTCAAAGTTGGCAATGTTTTTGCACCTTTTGTCTATTTCCCCCTTTTGCTTAAAAGTTGCTATACGGGGGAGTTAAAGTAGATAAAATACTAATATGACTAAAACAAGGAGGTAGTCAAAGAACTCAGATGAAAACTAGCTGGCGCATGACAACTGGGATCCTACTCATTAACCAACAATGTTGCTGATACTTTGTTGGTCACTAGACTTGATGTGTTTAGACACCACGCATAACTGGTATGGGGAAACGGTGACAGAGGAATTAAGTACCCGCTCCAAAACCAGAGGGTTGCATGTTGGAGCACCACTCAGTCTGTGGCAGTCAGGTCCTCTGACAAGACACTTCACTCTTCTTGATTGCAGATGGTTATTGGAGGGACTGATGCCGCCTTTTTATGGCATCTTTGCTTCTGTCAGTTCGCCCTGGGGCAGCTGTGGCTACATTGTAGCTCATCAACACCAGTGTGTGAATGTGTGTGGGGATGCTTGACTAACTGGCTGTGTTGGAGAGTGCCTTCGGGGGTTGTAGAAGGCGCTATATCAAATACAGGCCACTTACCATTTTTTCTTAGCCAAATTTATTGGCTGAAAAATGAACAATTATGTCTTTTTGAGGAAATATCATGAAAGCAGAATGTATGTGCATGTATTTCAGAGCAAGACCTCCACAATATCGGTCATAAACATGTGACAAAGAAGGAATACTGTCTACACTTAAGTATCATGTACTCTACAACATGTTATGAGTCTGTGCGTAAATGGCTTGACATGGCTCGCTGTGGACAGCAGTTTGAATAATGAATGAGACTAGCCACTCTTGTAAGAGCTACACTGTGTTAAATGTAGCCTGGTTTTGAGCAATGGAGGAGGAGGAACGTTGGAAAGGTGCCACTGTTATTTTTAAAGTAGAAAATCAACAAGTTCATGAATGTCTTGGTTTTCACTTTGTGGTAAAAATGATAAAATGCAGTTATAAATAAATAACACTTTTAGACAATAGTACTGAATGTACATTTATGAGTACAATGGGGCAGCAGTAGCTCAAATGGTAGAGCCTCATGATCGAAGGGTCATGGGTTCGATTCCAGCTCCCACCAGAGATATTCTGCTGTAGTGTCCTTGGGCAAGACACTTCACCCAACTTGCCTGTGTTGGTGGTGGTCAGAGGGGCCGACGGCGCCAAATGGCAGCCTCGCCTCTGTCAGACTGCCCCAGGGTGGCTGTGGCTACGTAGTAGCTTACCATCAATGGCAGCGTGTGAATGTATGAGTTCACACAAGCATCTTTGAGTGTCCTAATAAAGTGCTATATAAGTTTGATGATGATTATTATATTATTATCATAATGGTATTGTGTAGAACAAATGAAACATTTGAGCATTTGTTGTCAGTAGAAGACATTTGGAGAAGCAGTAAAAACAGCTTTAGTCTAAGAGGTACTCTCTGAAGAAGCACGGGTCTTAAATGCTAACACTACAACCTCCCTAAAGAGTTGTAAAAATTGCTAAATCTCTGTGTTAAAGTATACTTTTGACATGAAAGTCCCAAAGATGATAACATTTTACAAATGAGCAAAAGATCTCAGCAGCAAATCACTTAACTCTCAAACCGCCACTCTGTCTCTGATGTTCATCATTTACTTACACATTTTTTCCCTCCGTGTCTCATGCAGCTTTTGATCTCCCTCACACTTCCCAGCCCACATACACTTAAGCTGCAGCCATTTCTTCACCTACACCCTTTCTCACTCATTTAGCCTTTTCCATTTCCCTCACTCCAGCGTGTAGGGAATCCTCAGTTCTCTCTACAGCAGTCATTGTATTGGTTGAAAAGCAATAGAAAAAAGATAAAGCCCCGCAGTCCTTTTGCTTGTCAGTTTCTTCATCAAGGTCTTTGATCAGTTTGTTTCTGGGGCTGGTAATCGGGCCTTAAAACTTGAACCCTATCCCCACCAAGTACATTAGCCAATGCTTCTGCTAAGTGCTAACTCCTTTAGGTTTTCTTTGCCCAAGTCGAAGAGCTGTGGTTGTCGGAATAATTGGCAGCTTCTTGCCACTCTTTTGTCTCACTAGGTAGTCATTAATACAGGAAGTTTAACTGTTTGCACTGACTTTTATAAGACTTCTGCTTTCCTAATTATAGTTCACTTCTTTACATTGCAAGTTTAAGAGTTAACAAGATTGCCTACTTATGCATTAACCACGTGAATCACAAACTGTGATATATGGATGAGTTTTTGGGTATTTGGCATATCTGTCAGTTATGAATGGGTTTTACCACGGTTAAGTATCAATACCTATATATTAAGGTTGCACACAGTACCACAATGCGTTTGCATGTTAATAGTACAGAGCCAATCACATTACATCTTTAGTCACTTTTAAATGAACTGACCAAAGACGGGCCTTAACAGTGTTGCTCACAGAAATGTACACGTTATTTGCATAAATAAACTTATCATAATTTCAGCTGCCACTTCCATAAATCCTAGTTAAACCTCAACCAACACTGTTATAAGTGCACAGATGTAGAGGATATATTTACAAGTGTACCCACACACCAAAACAGACCAGAGATCAGTAGACTGACAACAACGTTGTAATGACGTTCAATTCAATTCAATTCAAGTTTATTTATACAGCGCCAAATCACGACAAGAGTCGTCTCAAGGCACTTCACATAATAAAAATTCCAATTCAGGTCAGTTCATTAAGCCAATCAGAAATAATGTTTCCTATATAAGGAACCCAGCAAATTGCATCAAGTCACTGACTAGTGTCAGTGACTATACAGCAATCCTCATACCAAGCAAGCATAAAGCGACAGTGGAGAGGAAAACTCCCTTTTAACAGGAAGAAACCTCCAGAGAATCCTGGCTCAGTATAAGCAGCCATCCTCCACGACTCACTGGGGATCGAGAAGACAGAGCAGACACACACACAGACACACACACAAGTAATGTGTCTATAGTTATATTGTGATGTCTTAGTAAATATTCTATTTGGTGAAAGATAAACTTTATTGTACTTATTCTAGTGGATCTATAATTAAACGGATAAACTAGTATTAACACATGAAAAGTCAAGGAAACCAAAAAGTTATTATCAGGAGAGAGAGAATGTTTAAGTGGTTAGCAGCAGTGTGCTAGTCGATGGCCCCCTCCATGAGGCCACCACAGCTCAACAGAACGTCATTGTAGCTTCTTCTGGGGAGAAAAACACTTAAAGAGAAAATAAAGTTAACATTCATAAGACAATGTAGGAACGTTGTTGTACAATCATCTTGCAGCTAACACAATCATCTTAGGCATGCTGTAATATACTATAGACATGTACTGGTGTCCAATTCTAATGAAACACTTTACTTTTTGTCTTCAAATGAAGCAAAATATATTAAGAATTAAAGTTGTGAGTTCCAAAACCAAAGCAAGGCAGAAAAAGCCAAAAAGCTAAGTAAAGGTAAGCCTAAATTGTAGTTTGATTAAATGTCTCTGTGGGTCATAACTGACATTAGTGTTTACAGTTGCTGGTCATAGAATTAGAATATCATGTCAAAGTTGATTTATTTCATTACTTCCATTCAAAAAAGTGAAACTTGTATATTAAATTAATTCATTACACACATACGGATATGTTTCAAATGTGTATTTCTTTAGTTTTGATTATTATAACTGACAACTAATGAAAATCCCAAATCCTGTATCTTGGACTATTACAACATTAATTAAGACCAATGCATAAAACAGAAATGGCCAGTTGCAGGACAACTGAAAAGTATGAGCTTGTACAGCATATTTGATTACCAGCGCCTGTGTAATCCAAACTTGATGCAGTACAAAGACATTTTTGGGATTACTTTAATTTGATGTAAAAAAAAAAATAAAGAGAAAATGTTCTCTAGCAAGAAATTCAATGTTGATTATGAATGATTTGATGCTTTTACTCAAACTGAACATCCGTGATGCGTTAAAATCTACTAAACACTTCTTTATGCCAACATGGCAAAAAGGAACTTTAATGGTCGTATTGAGATACAAACAATAAACGTGGGAGAGTGAAACCACTGGGATGAAATTATATGTACATTGTCACTTAGTGGTTGCATTAAGCTTTCTGTTTCCTCTGCAGGTATGCTTATTCTCTGTGTCCCTTCAATCTAGTCACACAGAAGAGCACAGCAGGAACCGAGGTCTTATTGGGGTAAGTACTTCTATTGCTGTCTGTTGGTTTTCTACTGTGAAAATCTGTCAATAACTAGCTTGTATGTGTCAGGGAGAAGGAGGAAATAATGAATGTGTTATGCGTAACTGATATTAACTTCCCGTTTTTGAAGAGCCTTGCAGCACACTGTGCAGATTTTGTTCTGTGACATTTGTAGCAGAGCTCATTCACTTCCAGGTAACTTTAATGTCAGTCGTGCTTTTTTCATGATAGGACTCAAAACCATTTCTTCTGTCCTAGTGAATCAGGCTTACAGTGCTCACTGGAACCTGCCTTAACACTGATATTTGTGCAATGGATTTTTTTTATTGATATTCAATCTCTGCTGGCCCCTTGTGACCTTTAACCAGTCACTAACAGATCTTTAATTTGATTCGTGACAAAAAGCGCTGGTTTCATGTACTGCTGGAGTTGTTGTTTTTTTCTCTTTGTCTCGAAGGGGTTCCAGTTTCATCAACTGTTGATGCTATGTGTGTGGGAAAATGCTTGTTTGGCTTGGGAGACATGCAGCATTAAATGCCAGCTAATTGTATTGTGTTCCTTAAGTGTCCGTGTGCAGGTGTTATCATCTAATGCAGAATGTAAGAGATATATTCCTGGACAAACGATTGACATCTTTTTCGATCATTAAAGTTTTAAAAGATCATTGAGTACAGACACCCGACTTCTACACTCCCTTCATGTTATTTCTTTGTCAAATTTAGAAGTTAGCCAAATTAATTTAAAATGTAAAGTGTTGTTTCATTTTTAGGAATTTGATGCAACAATGTTTTCCTGCTAAAACTCAATCAGCTTTAAAGACCAAGTTCACTGAGAAACAAGTTTTACTCATTTTTATTTATCCACTGAGTTATCCATGCAGGCTGAACATGAAAATATTCTTCTACCCCTGTTTCCTGCATAAGCTGTCGGTAGAAAATAGACAGGGAATCGCTCGGTTCAGAAAAGCCTGACAGCTCTACTTCATCCAGATCTACTTCATCCTCTCAATTAACATTCATGCATTCACAGGGTGTTGTTCGTTTAACGTCCAGGAAACCGCAGAGAAAGTCTTGACTAGAAGCTAATTTCTACTTCCTGAAACAGGACCGCCAGAGCCACCCACCCCCCCGACTCACAAGTAGGGCTGGAACGATCCATCGAATGATCCGATTCGTTAGATTCCTCAATTAATTTTTTACTAATTTGAATCTTTGTTAAATATGCGCACCACAGTCTGAACACACTTTACTGGAGCACTATGTGGTAATCTAGGTGCTGTAGAAGAACCAGCAAAGACTAAACCCATTGTAAAAGGCAGAAATGCTCCAAAGTTTGGGATCAAGAGTGAAACTACTGTGAGATTAGCTAATGCTAACCTAGCGCGTAGTACACTCATGATTAAGTGGAGTTCTGAAAAAATGGGATGGTTGTGAATAACTAAACTCAAGCGGAAGAAAAATCCCCACCATCCCGTTTATTTGTGGATTTCTGCAGCTCTATGGAGCAGAACCTCTGCAGCTGCTGCCTGGAGTCAGGTTGCTGCTACTGGGAGTCAGCGACTCAAGTCTGCTCCACACACCACAGTAGAACTATGGTAAGCCGTTGTAGCATGTAATTCACAAACGCTATTTTAGCTAAAGGTTCGATCCCGGCTCCGGACAGAGGATTCTGTTGTTGTGTCCTTGGGCAAGACACTTAATCCATCTTACCTGCTGGTGGTGGTCGCAGGGACCGGTGGCACCTGTGCTCGGCAGGCCTCATGTCATTGCGCCCCAGGGCAGCTGTGGCTACATCGTAGCTCATCACCATCAGTGTGTTAATGTGTGTGTGAATGGATGAATGATACACTGTAGTGTAAAGCACTTTGGAGTCCTTACTCTGAGGTGCTATACAAGTGCGGGTCATTTATCATTAAAGCTTGCGCTCTTTTTTTTGGGTTGTATCATATTCTCTAGACCAACCATGACAATAGTAAAAGATTTTGCTCTGCAGCTTGGTCTAGCCACGCTCCATCGTACCTCAGCAGGTCAACCATTAGCACGAACACTGTTGTGTCTTGCCAATCACATCTCTCTGTTTGTTGGGCAGGTTTAACAATAGAGCTGTACAACAAAAAACCACAGACAGACTCCCCATGGACTAGGGCTGCCTATTGGAACTGGCGTAGATGCAGGCCACCATCTTGGATGGGTCTCCATTCGCCCCCAGTGCATTTATTTCTACTGAAGAAGGTGTATACCATCTATAAAACACATTTTATTATGCTTTTTCACAAAATCAGTCAGACACATGGTATGGCATAATAACAAATTTAAATATAATAAAATAAAATAAAAAATCCCAACAGGTAGGCTAGAAGAGTCAATGGTAATCCCACGTGATCTACTTTCAATAGAATGCTGGTTGTTGTTGCAGCCATAGGCTGCACAAAGAATAGGCATAGTTGCTCACTCTGTGTTGACTTTAGTTGGGTTTTATGAGTAAGGAACCCATCCAATATGGCGGTGACGCTGTAACACTCTCCAGCACCCAATGGGGCATCTACTTATTCATGTCTATGAGAAAAACAACAAAGATGTCATAGACTCAGAAAGACTTCTCATTTAAAACAATTTTGACATCAACTTTGGACTATTTAGACTTTAGACTTTCTTTGAGACATGAGCAGAAAGAGGTACTTAAACATTTTGAAAGAGGACGTATTTGATTCTTTTTTACATTGACCGTCATCTGTAGCGGTGAGTATGTCACTGTTTGTTGCTCTGATTGGACCTAGTGCTGTCCAAACACGTGGAGCAGGTTGAAAGACAACCGTAGAGTCTGACTCCATCCCATGACTGGATTGTTTTAGTAGCTTGTGGCCAGACTGTATACAGTATTTAAATATTAAGGAAGGCTTGCCGGGCTTATATTTTCTGTCAATACTTGTCAATTGTGCTTTGAAAAGCATTCATAAAAATTAGATCTTTAAAATTGCAGACAGTCATTTAATGTTGCTGTCCCTTGTTCAGCCACAAACTCTTGGGCTGCTTTTGATCTGTTTTGAGCTACCCGGTGTTGTGCTGAGATGTGCTACCCTGTCAACAAGTGTTTAGGGTGTCATCCACACATGCTGCCAGCTGTAATGCTGCATCCGGACTGTGCCATGGTGACGACTTATGAATGCATCCTGGCTGTGATTTTTGTGACACTATGATCAAGGACAGTTTGAAATGGTACTTATTCTTTTTCATCATCCAGTTTGTTGCACGACATCATCATGAAGTCAGGTTTGCGATAAACTAAAAGCATCATCAACCTGTCATTGGTATGTGGATTCACTGCATTTTGTGTTAACGTTGTTACTGTTGCACATTAGGGCTGGCTTTGCCCACAAGCTGTTGTGACAAAGTGATTCTCCAACACGACGTTTTGCAATGACTGGAATGCTATTCCATCAATACCTCTGCAGAGAAAGCTCTGATGTCTACAACATTAAAAGTCAGCTAGTTCTTTTTTTGTTGTTGTTGCTGCTGAAACACAAACCTGCAAATTGTCTTAGGAGGTTTTATTGGTATAATTTCTTAAACAAATGTGCAAGATCATGTCCAAACATTTGACTTAAGATTGATTTTTCTTCTCTTGTTGGTTGAAGTGAGAATTTACAGATAAATTATTAGCAATTATCCTTCTCAGCAAATAGTTTTGCTTTCAGATGGCAAATTAATTGGAGTCCGAAGTGGCATCTTTTTTTTTGCACCGCCACCTCCCACACTACCTACTTTCCTTTGGAGCGGAAAGTGCAACGCTTCAGCATGTTGTTAGCGCAGGAGAGAAGAGGAACAGAATGCTAACTGTGAGTAATGTGACCCCAGCGCTCTGCCTGCCTGTCAGTCAGGATGGTATGGAAAAGCTGAAGCAGAAACGTTGGTCAAAAACATCTTTGACTGTACTTGGAACACATTTCTCTGTCAATAATGACTTGGAGGGAAAGATTTCAAATATATGCTCATCTTTTTTTAAGCCATAAAACTTTAGTAGTGATAGAAGTGATTACAGCACTATCACAACAGACAAAGAACAGTGTTTGATCTTTTTTTTTTCATGAAAAAATAATGCTAGATTGATGCAACTTGCTTTACCAATTGGTATTGGTATTTGCTAGGTGTAGGCAGGCGGGAAGGTTCCATATGATAAACTATACTGTTCTCCGGCAAATGTAGTGCCGTGAAGGTCTGTGTGGACTGTCTTCAGCTGAGGAGGGGCATGAGAAGCACATGAATCATAACTAGCGTGGTGGGGATAAAGTTAATTTTTTATCCAGGCAGACATCAGTCAGACCTTGCAGGATGAAGCTGGGCCTCTTGATATCAATCTGCATGGAGGCATCTTCTTTCTCCCCAGAGGGGTGAAGCGGGTGAGGGGGTTGCATTGATGTAAACGGCAGCATTTATCACACCTGCTCCAGCATCCTAAAAGACAGCCATAGGAGACGGAGGGGAGGAGATGGAGAAACAGCTCTAACACGTGTGGCCTGTCAAAGATGCTATGAACCAGGACGTTGTGGGGGCGGTGGCATTGTTGGAACCTATTTGCACCATTGTTTAAATGAATAAACATAAAAGCAGGTTTTTAAAACTGAAAATTCGATTGTTGAAGCCCACTTTTTTACGTCTGCTTATGGTTCGAAACTAAGCAGTTTTATTAATTATGCACAAAAAACAGTGGTATAAGATATTTATTGCGGTAGTGTGTGTGATAGCCAGTAGTAGGTAAAATGTAAGAGCTTAAAGCTTTTTGAACACCAGTTTGGGTTTTCTTATGGTTTTAATTTCTCCCTATATTTCAATTGTGAGCTTAATGTTAATACAAGTTTCTCTGGAGTATCTCTGTGTAGTGTCAAAATAGCACCCCCACTATGAATAACACCCCTATCATAAGGTACTTACAGACTGTAGGAACCTTTTGTAGTTCCTAGAACCTTTTCAGGAACAAGCCCCCTTTCGGGCGCGTTCGGA